CCTACAATCAGTTTTCCAATAGCTCTGAGACATTAAGAGACAGGACGGCAAGAGCCTGAGTCCCTAAGCTGTACCTAGATTGCAGCTTCTCTATGATATATAACAGTGTTTTGGACTTTCTGTGTTTAATATCTAAATGTCTACGTTTTAGCTGATATATATATTTTAGGGTCATCTTTGACAAATGCAGACAGAATGCAAATAATCGGTAGTCAGTACCATAGGGGACATTGACAGTTTGGTTTCTGTTCTGTTCCCTAAATGTGTGTGAAAATACCCTCACAGCCAGCGACTGCCGACATCCTCGCATTATACAACCTCAGCGTTCTTGGATCACTTCCACCTGCCAAGAACTCCTCCCCTTTTGAAGGATTTCCCTAGTGTAGAACAAAGCCATTTTGTGCATGACAGGGCAGAAATCCCTAGTCCTTCCCCATTCCTGTGGCACCTCTCAGTCAGTGACTAACACCTCAGTTCCCCTACCTCTTTGTTGCAGTAACTTTGAAACACATTCTTTTTCCCACATTTTCTCCTGGCATTAACCCAGGTCACCCAGAATGCTAACTGACATTATAATTAACACTTCACTGGATACTTTGCCTTCTCCATCTCTCATTATTATTCACAATTATTCCCATCACTGTTCCTTGATCTCAAAATAAACTTCATGTGCTTGATGGGTGAGGAGATGGAGATCTCAGGAGAGATAGGCTACACCGGCTCTCCAACATTTCAGTAATGTGTGTGGTTATTGTACTCACAAAGTTGGTTTCCCCCAAACATTCAACACCATTGTATGGGGGTTAAAAACATGGCTCTGTGGTCACACAGGTTTTGTACAACTATTGTGCTTGTGTCAAATCTGCCTTTGGTGAAACTCAGAGTAAGACAGAGGATCCATAGTTCCATTGTCAAATCACTCTCATGTTTGGTCGGGATTATAATGTGTATCCCTTCCCATATTGAACTCACATATCGAATCTCTGCTACCAAAAAGTATAATCTGACTGTAACTGGACATGAGCCCTTTAAAGAGGTTATGACAGTAACATGAGGTTATTAGGATGGATCCT